AAAAAAAACAGTAAGAAACTCTTAATCATAACCCCAAAATATATTTCACTTTTAAATAAAAAACACGCAATTTTATTTTAAACTTAACCATAAATCAATTTACAGCTTTTTTATTTATATCTTCAATTTAAATTAATCATATTTTACCATTATAATTTGTGTAAATAATATTTCGACACCTTTAAACAAATCTGTTTCAGATTATTCAAATACACATATAAATTATTTTTATTTACAAAGATCATAACTAAACAACAAAAAATATTATTAAAAATAACTTAAATGGAAATAAATGACTTCACTGTACAAATACTACAACAATACTTGAGCTGCTCAACAGATATATTATACTATATTTACACACACCTCAAAATCTGACGTGTAAAAGTGGCATAGGCTTTTCGTGTGCAATATTGCACTTAACAGCTTTCGTTGCAGAAAGCTCAATAATGTTCTGGCGACAAATCAATATTTTTATTCCAAATTTTACTTCACTATATAATGAGGATAAGTGGATACAGAATAGAGGATTGAAAGTGAAATGGGCATATAATGCCTTAATCGATTAAGTACAGGACAGCTTAAAAAAAAAAAATAAAAATCAAATCAAATTTAATCGTTTTAAAATATTTCAAAATGCATGTAGGGTGGTTCTTTTTAGGCAGTTTGTACCTCCTGTTCTGTACTGTTTACTCAAAACTCACAGAAATATAAAAGCTTTTACCCAAGTAGATAGATGAAAGCTTCAATCATCAATTCAAAAGCCTGAGTTTAAGCTTTCATAAAAGTGGTAAAAAAATCTGCTAGAGGGTCATTAAAAACATTATAATTATTATAAAAAAGAGGTACATGTATAATATATTCATTTTGAGTATGTGAAAGTTACATGCGAAGAAAATTTGTCTTGCATAAAAAGTTTAAGCTGAACTTTCACTTACTGACATACAAAAGCTTATTTTCGAGCTTTTTGATTTTACTTTCACTGTATGGGATACAAAAGCTTAAATTCGAGCTTTCTTCATTCGAATACATAGGCTTTTAATGAAACTTTCGCTTGCACACGCTATTAGAGATTGAGCTTTCACCGCCGAATTTCAACACTCATTTTAATATATTACAGGTTATTTAAAATGTAATAACTTCACAGCCTACAATGTAATGAAAAAGATATCAGGCAAAGGCTAACTAATTGAACCATATCACTTTTGGTGCTAGAGACACACAACGGTGCAGTACTTGTTCCTCTTTTGTGTTATGTGCGTGCCAGTAGTTTCTTTTTCTTATTTGTTGTTGCTAGTACAATAATTTACCTCGATTGTTGATGGGCTCCGCATACTCGAGTTCGGCATTTATGCCCAACGCTAGATCATGTGGTGTCGCATAAACACGACCATCCGCTGGCGATGCATAATCAGGCAGCAACGGTTGACCCAACTCCTCGTAGAACGGTTCATTGGGTATATTAAGCGGTTCAGCGTTGCGTCCATTGTCTATGCCATTGATGCGTTCACGTTCTCTTTCACGTTCGCGTTCACGTTCACGCTCGCGCTCCAAACACGCCGCCTCTCGGCTGGCTATTATGTGGGCGGTGTCAATGCAGCCAGCATAGTGTGGTCCAGGGTAATTCTCACGTTGCACACGCGTAAAACTCTCCGTCCTGCAGATGGCGTTCGTTGTCAGTTGCAGCGGTTGCGATTGCGGCTGCAGATGTTGGACCAAAACTCTGCAGAATGCATTGAGATCCTGACAACGTTCAACTTCATTCAGTAGATTTTCGATTTTCGCGATAGTTTTAATGCATTGCTTCTCGGTGCGATTCGTTTGCAAAAGTTCGTCGCACAAACGTTTGATTTGTGGTTGTATCTGAGGATGTCGCTTCTCTATTATATCTTGGGCACGCACGATAATATCACGTTCGCCTTGCGTGAATTCATGTCGATGCTGATGTGACGCGCTAGCACCACGATTGCTCTTACGCTGTTGACACAAGCAACGCAATATCAGCACTAGTATAATGAGTAGCACGATCGCCAATATAATGGCAGTGCCGAGATAGATGATATGCACGAATTGTGTAGCTTGTTGCTCGAGCTCTTCGATTGTAAAGAATTCACCATTCACCTTCTTCAGATTACGATTGGCGCCACAATCTAAAGTTGTCTTCTTTTCGTCACACACTTCATGCTCATACCGCTGCATATTAAAGGTAGTCGCGTTGAAGCATACACCTAATTTGCGATCGATCGTGCAGTAGATTTCCGAACGTAAATCGCGTTCAGAATATGTGTCCAGCCACTCGAGATTACAACGACACGGCAGATCGACAATGATCTCACGCAATATGCAATGACGATTTCCTATATTCAAACTGCCCGGCTTCGGTTTCGTTACGGAGTTACTTTCGAAACGGCAATCGAGGGGTTCTTTCGTTTCCTCCACTATAATGCCGCCGAAATCACCAAAACTATTTTTCACAATCACAATATTCGACCATTCCTTGATACGCAACCAGTGCTGACCGAGATGTTTGATGTGATTGTCTTTGATGGTGGCATTTATGGTGTTCACATAGATGGCATTCTCGTTGATGGTGTCAATACTGTTTTGGTGATAAGTGTATTAGTGGAATTTTTAAATTGTATTGCATTTTTCAGTTACGTACCTGTTGTTACGCAAAATCAGCTCGCCGATGCCACTGCCATGTATGGCTTCGCCCTCGATGTAGCCAATAACGCCGCCAGTGAAGGACACATGCTTGCTGAGCAGCTATAATGGTTCCAGTTGAAGATGTAGAAAGTTTCCTGCCGTGTAATAGTGCAAATTTAGTTTACTCACCTTTTCCGTAATCGAGCGTGATTTGATTACGCCAATGGCGCTATTTTCGAATATAATATTGAAGATGCTATTGACATCGAAAGAGCCACTATTGATGGTGTTAATGGTGCAATTGTTGAATTTGATTTCACGCATTGAGGCTTCGAAACGATAGATATTGTCGATATGAGAATTCTCGATGTATAACTGAAATATAATTTGTAAATATTATTAGTTACAAAATTACTATTTCGAAAAGTCACTGCTGCATTTTGGCAAAACTAAAGTTTGCTGCTCAGCTACATTCTACAAACTGTGTTGTTGTAACGATTATATGGTAAGTTGTCATAGGTAATCCCACTATAGGCCCAGGAAACGTGCTGTTTCGACGGGGTTGGATCATAGAGATAGGGTGTTAGATGTGTAAGGTTAACAAGGCGTGTAAAAAGGTAGTTAGTGTCATGCGGGGACTCATTGCATGCTCAACATATAACTTGTATATTTGGTATGTCGGGGTCGATTCTGTGTAAGTAGGAATTCAACCTGCTACAGTATCCAGAACGAAGCTGTACAAGGATCACTCGCGACAACTCGAGCTCGCCGTATGCAATGGGTGGTGGTTTGACTTCGAGTACGGTATTCACTGAGAGGGCTACGGTAAAGGTGTTAATTGCCACATTGTGCATAGCGTTCAGTTCATGTCTAAAGTTTGTTGAGTTCGAAGTCTGGTAGGCGTACTGTTTTATGTTGTCGACGTAGTTGAGGCAAATTCCCACAATAGCCGGTTCTCCGCTACCGAAATTGCCCTGAATTTTATCCGTTAAAGGGCTGTACTTTGGGAGATCTAAGTTCGTTTGGATCGAGTAAGTTTTCGATTTTTCTTCAAAATTTCTAAAGTAGTAGTGTAATTAGAATTTTCTATGATGGCTGACTACAACTTGTACGGTCACAAGAATGAATATGTAATAATAATAAGCTTTCATTTCGTTTCATCTTGAATATAGCATATGATCAAATTTGACCCGGACTGAAAAATTAAATTTTTACGTATTGTACTACAAATTTTTATTATTGCTTTTAAAGTTGGCTTTAGGAACCAACGCTTAAGCCAATTTAGTCCTGGTCAATTTGAATATACATACATATGATCAAATTTGACTCGAACTGAAAAATTTATTTTTACTTATTGTAATACAAAGCTTTCTTATGGAGTTTTTGTTGTTATATAGGGTTTTGATGGACCATGACTAGATATAAAACAGCGACGATTGTTAAGACCTGTCTGCCTTACAATTTTATTTTTCTAACCTTAGTGTCTTTAAAAAATATTGTTGTACTCAATATCACCCATTATTATGTACTTCGTTGTTTTACGATTCAAAGGATCACAAATAAATGTTCGCCTTTTTACACACACTCACCTTCGCATCGGCTGAATTGAACGCCTTCTCCTCGATACGCAAGTCAGCTATCCCAAAAAATTTGCCATTAATTTCGGCTTTCTTGAAAGCATTCGAATACAAAATTAAATCGTTACTGTTGCGTACAGTGAATTTTTTGCTGCCTACAACAAAAGAAAGGATATAGTACAATTCCAATAATAAAAAAACAATAAAAATATAATAGTTACCTGAAAAAGCGCCCTCTCGCACTACCACCGAAAAGACATTTTGCATCACAATATCTGGATATGGCCCCATTATGCTGGCATTACCTGGGAAAGCACCTGTGGTGATCTCCACTTGTTCACCGCTACTATGAGTGCCGACAATCGTGAAACTGTTCAAAACTATGTTATGGTCAAATAGATCCCTTTCCAAACGGAAATGTGTATTTGCTGCTAATTTAATTTCAATTGATCTCGTCGTATTTGGTATGCGATAAATCGGACCGAAAATCTCATTCAGCGGTGTCTGGAGATGAAAGGAAGAAATAAAATTATTGTAAATTAGTAACTCGAACAGAAAATATACTTGGGAAGCTACTGCGTCTTATATATGTATGTATGTTTATAAATAGTTTAAGTTATGATAAGTCTGATGTGGCTATGCGAGGTAGATTTTTTCGTTAAAGAAATATAAGAAGAAAATAAATAGTATTAAAATTTATATTTCCGTGTTGCAGGAATTTTACACATTCCGTCTACGTAAAGTAACGCATACAACGCAGTAAATATCAGTAAATTAGCGAGCTAATTGAATCGAATATTTACCTCTTATAAATAAAAATTCTATCTAAGTGCTTTATTTATTATTTTGATGAATCATGCTTGATACACAAGTGATATGCAATTACGAACTATAGCTATACGGTATTTATAATATCACTAGCTTTGCATTATTGACATTTATGACAGTGTATCCAGTCCAAAGTGCACTTATTGAATTTCAAGAAAACGTAGTGATATGGTACATATGTGGAAATTGGAGCTATTTAAAAAACACAATGGTATTACTAGCGCTATATGTCAAAAAACGACATAGTTCTGGCTATGGGACCAAACCATTTTTTCGAGAGATTGAGCGCTCAGTAAAAAAAGAAAATATTTCTCTCTAAAGTTCGAAATAAGGGCTTGAAAAAAATAATATTAACTATAGCAAAAAGTTAATAAAAAATAGAAAATGTGCACATAATTTATTTTTGTTCTTATTTCAATGATGTATAACATTTTTTGGTCAAACTTTACGATATGACATTTGTTGTATGGGATCAAATCAGATCTTCGAAAAACAAACAAACAAAACATTTTCTATTTCTTCGAATAAACAGTGAAATTTATTTCACCGGAAACAAAATATTGTCAAGTTCTCATGTCCGGTTATAGGAACTGTTTGCGGATGAAAATATTAATGATAATGTCGTGTTCATGAAATTTGTCCGAACTGTCCGTAGTGGGGAACTTCACTCTACATGACCGGTCTCTGGCAATAATTCATGCTAATAATGATCAAAATTAAAGTGGGTTCGGTTGCTCAGATAGTATGGTAGCTAGATGCCAATATCGGATTACTATATTATTGGCAGCTTCGACATATGAGCGGTTTCTTGAGGGAAAAAGGATGTGTGCAAAATTTCCTTTAGGATGCCCCCACTTTACACGAATTTCAACATACTCTGTGGACTCACTATCGATATCTCTTCCAGTGTATCATACCGAGGGGACCACCGATGCTTACAGCACAGTCTTACCAATTGCACAAGAGGTGCTCCATTTTGTTCTCTGGTGCCTTGCCCTAGTCATTTCCTGCAGTCTTCTCGATTTGTTAGCCCCAAACGTGTGTCGCCACCAGACAGTGACCAGTTAGTATATTCTACTAAACAATCCAATGAAATTTCGAGTAATTCTCTTGAAAGTTGCTTACTTTCGTACCCTTCAATAAGTGTAGAAGTTGGATTCCCATGAAATCTTTTGTTAATCCCTTGTGAAATTGTCGTAATAAAAAAGTGGAATGTATAAAATATTTTAAGTAAACGGTTTGCACGTATACAGCAGTACATTTCCACCCCCTTTTTTTTCCTTTGGATTTCGGAATTCACTTTTCGCCAAACTTTGTTGCCACGATCTGGTTCAAATTTGTTGAACTTCGTTTTGTCACTAAAACTTACTTTCGACCAAAACTCGATACCTTTTATGTACGTTTTTGCGAACTGCAAACGCTTCTTTCTGGTTCGGTCATTTTAGCGTCTCTCTCTCTAAGCGTCCTGCGTACGGTTTCAGCTCTGTCACTCATTCCAGCATACTGAGTGAGGCTTTGATTCTTTCACCATAAAGGCTGTATTACAACTATGACTTTTGACATCTTTCAAAAAACTACGAAACAATTCATTTCATGTTCTCATGTTGACTTATGACTCTAATGGATTTCAAAGCCAATTCCAAAAAAATCAAATAAACTAAAAGAGTGCCCAGTACTACAAAGAACTTGACCGCAAGTGCATATAAATTATATACATACATATGTATGTATATGTATTATGATTAGTAGAAAACCCTTTTTGTATTTATCTATTATTTCAAATTTAGCAATACGTCCATATACTTGTACAATGTACGTATGGTGAATGTGAAGAACAAACATATGAGCTTGAAATTTAGTGTACGTCTTTACGTTATACATTGATCCATTTAATTATGAAGGCAAATTTATGAACTGATTGAAAAATATATTATTAAGCACTTATGCACAAAGGCCAGTGTATACAAGTGCTAAGCAATAAAATACTTAAATACATTGTGGTAAGGCACTTTTATTGTTGAATTATGTGCAGGTAAATTATGCATGAATTGTAAAATACGCAAAACTTAATTCACACAAAAATTTCATTCTAATAAATTCGTTTGAAAAGCGATAAACATAATAAAATAAAACCGCAATAATACCTCAACTATTTCCCTAATTTGCAGAAGCACTTATGTATGTGCCTATATATGTGAATACATATACATATTCGTAAGTAAGTGAGAGTATAAACTCAAAAATTAGTTTAATTTGCTACGTAGCAAATGATAAGAGAATATAGTATGCATTCATACTCGGTATAAATAACACAACAAATTTGTTTGTGTAGATAACGCAACGTAAAGAATAATTTCTTTCTCTCAATGATTCATCGCGTCAACACTTGCCGCCACTTCGCCGAAGGCACGGCCCTGGCGTACACGTTTGGCGCTTAGCTGCCGTTACGCAGTATTGAAATCATTTCATATAAAATATTTTTTCTTAAAATTTCATATGTATTTGCGTTTGTTTTTCCAACTTAATATTGCTTTTTTTCTAAGCGTCTGTTTTGTTTTGTTTTTGATTTCATTTGATGATCTTCAATATTCATTGTTTTCGAAATACTCGTATGTGCATACTTACTTACATACTATACTTATGTATAGTTGATTTATTGGGTTTATGTATACAAAGTATATCTGTATATATATTCATTAGCTATTAAGAATTTAGATATGTATGGCATACATAAGTATGTATAGTTTATACTATACCTTAGATCTTGTACCATTTTCGAGCGAATGAATAATTTTTAATTTAACAGATAATATAAAAATACCAAGAATTAATCAGTTTTAAGACGAATTTTAAATTATATATGTACACCAGAGTGGGTTTGAACAACTTTGTCTAAGAGGCCACGCGTCTTATCAAACGTTAAAGAAGCGATTTTTGAACGCAAACAGGAGAGGCTATAATTGATGTGTTCCACCATGATAATAGGTGACCCGCAGTGAGCGAGTTTGATAATTCACCAAAAGCTTTTGCAGCTTGATTGGGATGTGCCACCTCCACCACCATATTCTCCAGTCTTGGTACCTTAGGGCTATGTATTACATGATTTTATGCATCCATAAGAGTTCTATTTGGTCGTATTGAGGCGTTTGCGTGAGATCATCCGACGAAATTGGACGGAATTGTGGAAGAAAAATTCATGGATTTTACACGATGATAACGCACTATCGCATCGAGCCACGTTTGTGACCGAATTAAAAGCCAAAAACGCAATGACTACCATCGATCAACCAGCGTGTTCATCAGATTTAGCTCCGTGTAATTTTGTCTTGTCTCCAAACTGCAATTGCCGCTCCATTTTCAGTCGATGGAAGAGATAAAACGCAATTATCTGAAGAAGCTTAAGGCTATCTCAAAAAGTGCTTATGAAGAGAGTTTCGGTGAGTGAAAAAATTGTTGAAGCATCAAGATTATTCCAACTAAATTGAAAAAAAACAAAAATACACAATTCACAAAACAAAACGATGTAAGACAAGTTTTGAGAATCTTTCGAAAACTTCTTCTGCAGTGGCTTCAATGTCATGATGCGTGTACAGCAACGTCAGGCCGATCAATCTATCTTGAGGCATGTTCGTCCTGAGCCATTCCTAGTGGCGAAGTGTCGAAAAAGAGCGTTCATAGCACGTATTCGCCACAGAAAGTGTGAATAATATGCGAATAAAACTATGAATTATGGAGTATAGGTCTACATCGTAGTTCTTCAACGTTTCTAATGCAATAGCCTGTAACTATTGTCTTTTGTCTTTTGACTTTTGACCCCCAATGGCACTGGCAGTGATCAAGTTCACCTTTGAGCCTCATACGTCGCACGACGATGTCATTATCCAATGCCTTTGAATCTATCTATCAAGCAGTCAAAAAGATTTTACAATGTCCCTCATTTCCCCCTCTGAATCCGTCACTTTATAACTAATATCCGAGCTTTCGAATTTACGGCTGACTTTACTTCCTATGATTGTGTATATGAAGTATCTTAATGAAACGCAGGGAACATTTCTTCAGTATGTGACACTATAATAGTTAATGGCTAAAATCGGGTCGATACTACCTCGACTCCGACATACTACATATGAACACCTGAAATGCAAAGTTTCCTTTGATATTAATATTTCAGGAATTAAATGTTATTAATCTCTCTTAGAAACTAAAATTTTTTCTTACAAGCGTTAATTTTAAGGTAACGACGATAAAACTCACTACTGTAGAAAAAATGCGTTTGGATATGTCCGTTCATGAAATTTATTTTAATTGTTTGTGCGATTAGTCACTCTCGAAGTTTTAGGAGTTGAGAGCAGCTATTAATGATTACTAGTAAATAGGACAAACGTACATAGAACATAATATTATATTAATTGCTAAATGTTAATAACTTGTGTAGGCTCCTATTTCTAACTATACTGAGATATGTATACCAATATCGCTATCTACTCGCGTTTGTTGGTTCCCGTACAAGAAAAACACAGATTAACATTGATTTAAAAAATGCTCTAATACTTTTGTACGACGCGACACAGCAGCGAGCAATGAAAATGAACAACGAAAGTCAAAACAAAGAATTAGCAAATCACTGAAATTGTCTAGACTTCGGCCTGTGGCGGCTGAACGATTGACGGCGTTGC